CCAGTTACAACATTAACCATACTTAACGGTCCAAATATTCCTTAACTATTATTTTCCAATTTTCATGTAGCCGAATTCTTAATAATCTAATTACCATAATTGTTAGAAAATGCGTAATTCCATGTCCCTCATGTGTTTTCTGCTTCTCTCGTTAGTAAAATACTCAAATCTAATTATTTTCTTGGTGAAGTAATGAAAATATCTAATAGAGAAAATTTTGTTCCTTGGCTTTTAAACCAATTTATTGATTAACCAAATCAATTTATTCCCAACATATAGTCAAAATAAGCATCTTGTATTCAAAATATGATTTTGGCATGTTCTTAAAGATTATGATTCTCTCCCCAATTAAAAATGTGAATCGAATAATTTAAATCCCCCTATTTACTCAAAGTCGGTAATTTCAGAATGTTGTTTAAATTTTACACACTATTCACTAATTTATCACAACCTATATAAAAAAAGAAGTGAATATATATATATATATATATATATATACTACATGCTTTTATGCTTAGTTTTGTAAAATGTGTGGTATGTTGCTAACAAGTTTTTAACCTCCCACAAATTAGAAGTAGAAAAAACAATTATCGAAAAATATCGAGGAAAGAGACAAATTTGGGTTGCCTAAATCAAAAACAAAGAAACATTCTAGCAAATTTTTCTTAGAAAAAAGAAAAAAAACATGATTGACTTTCTTATTGATGGAATCTGAGTAATGGTTTAAGAAAAATTTAAGCTAGATCATGGCACATGCATGATCTTCTTCTAAATTGTTTAGTCCATCTTAAGTTTTGTAAAGAAATGTATAAAATCCCTAATATCCTATCAGCATAATTAGTTTTCTTTTCGATAACAAAACTCCATTTCAAGTTTAAACATAAAGTAATCAGACCAAATTTTGGGTCTCAACGACTTTGGTCAAATGAATTTTCTTAACGTTCTTCATAGATAGAGATTAGTGACTAACCCATTTAAAGTAATACACTAATACTATGTGCTTATTCATTTATGTTTGCATGCAATGCACATTACTACGTGGAGGAAATATATGTGCATGCATATGGATGAAATCGCCACGTACTAAAATTTTGAGAATGTAATTAAATTATGTTCTCTCAAATAATTGAGTTTTTATAATTGTAATTTTTTATAAGACATTTATTCGAATTATAAATATTTTAAATTTGGATTTGTTTGAAAGACGCATGCATGTTAATATATGATAAAATGCTTGCATATCAAGTTTTTTGTTTTGTTATAGGGACTTCATATATGATCATATTTTCATAGTTTTATTGGTCATCATATTTTGGTTAGTTAAATACATTTCTTTATCTAAAAACCTTCCAAATTACTTCTAATATTTTGTCAAACGACTTAAATTCTCCTTTGTATGGAAGCAATCAAACTCATTTGGCTACTTTACCTAATAGTATAAGTCTATAAGATACCAATTACAATTTATACTTTTATATACTAATATTTCTCAAAACTTTGTTTGTATATGCACATTCTATGAACACTAGTAGTCAAATACGTCATTAATGTCTATATGCGTAGAGGCCGTTGACACAAAATTTGGTCAATTCCTCTGGATTCTTTCAACTACTCAAATTCGACAATTATTGAGGGTTCTTAATGATAATTCTTAGGATAAATATATCAACTTGAGAAAATGATAAGGATCTTGCTAAGATTTTCTTTGATTATTTATTTTGTAATGATATATACTTAGCTTGTGGGAAGGAAGGAGCCATGTGAACCACTATACATTCTTTCTTAAATTTGGTAACATGTATAAAATTCTCCATTATTACACCTAAAAGATAATTTAATATATTATATACATATATAACTATATAATGTAAGTAAGAATGTAATATGCCTTTTAACAAACAAAAAAAAAAGTAAGAATGTAATCATTACTAAAGCATTTTATTTGTAATATATCTCTACAACTACAAAGGGAGCTTTCTAGTGAGTGATCATTGAACCTCAATAAGATTTGAGAATGGAAAAATATTTTTATTCTACTATTCGATTTACATCTTGTTATTTTATACATAGGAGTCATGAAAAGTATATACATATGCCTACCAACCCAATTAAAGTGACTGTGGAAAAAGTTAAAGCAAGATCGGTTAATGAAATCCATCATAATCTAGCTTCATTTAGTTAATTATACGTATAATCAATTATTAAAAGACAAACTAAATTAATTCAAAACTAATATATCTACCGCTTGATCATTACTAAAAAATTATAAAATCAGCAGTTATATATATAGAAATGATCGGCTACTCAATTTTCTTTGAGTGTAGTGATTCAGTTTGAATAATGTTTCGTGAACTTAATTTGTAAGAATATGTAAACAAACACATCACTTTTCTCAAAACAATAGCTCTAATTATCTCTAAAACATGTACGTACATTGAATAAACGATCGAGTTCACTAGCCATGGAGAGCTACATAAAAGTTAGCTTACGATATTATGTTGCATGAGGATAACAAATGAACATATTGACGTGATCATTTGGAAATACAGATGTTTGAAGATCTAGGTCTAATCACGATTGTCTTGGAGAACATAAATATAAAGGAGGCTATAAGCTTAGGTGATCTCAAGAAGGGTTAGCTCTGTATAAAAGATTCTAGGAGAACCAACCATGTTGACATGTTGTCTTTGGTTTTCAAGCTTTTCAAGTTTGATTCCTAGGTGAGTAAGATCAGTTATGTTCGTAAGAACTGAATTTGATCATTATAGTATGATTATGAAATGTGTCTTTTTTTTTTAACGCTAAAAACACCATATTTTATTAAACTGTTTCAAATAGGCTAGCTATCATGAATATGAGATGTGTCTCCTAAATGAATTTTCAATAACAATATTATTACGTATTACGAATTTTTCTCTCTCTCTTTTTTTTTGGTAGAGGTTAAATTTTCTGACCTTAAAATTCATACATATTTTAGTAATGAGTTTTAGGTTTAATTAAAATGCACAATATTTAGGAAGTACTCGAAAACGCGATAGATGAAGAGCCATTTGGTTATTACGAATTCTTATAGACTTTTAATTAATAATTTAAAACATATAAAATGTACTTGCAAAACAAACAAAACATTGTAGAATATGTACGATACTATACTACAATCACATCGTCCGTTGTACATCCACTAAGTTCCATTAGTTAGAAAACTATGGAATATAAATACATTATCAACTTTTCCATTTTAGAGTTTGTTTTATAAATCTAGAAAAAAAAAAAGAAAATGAAAAAATTTGTAATGGAACATTCATCGAAAGTAGTATAAAGCGAATAAACACCAAAAAAGACAAAACAAATTCTATTGAAATAAATATATGACAAAGTTACAAAAATTTGACCCAAAAAACGAATTGTATTAGCTGTCAAAAGGAAGAAGAAAAAAAACGAATTGATTATATAAAATACAAAACAAAAAAATTTGCAAATTGGTTTTGACATTGTTATTGGTTATTGCCTGGTTAGGTCGTCGGCAGCCGAGTTGAAGTGGACCAAAATTTAGCCCCCACTGGGCTCACCATCTAATCCACGTGGTTGCATACTTGTCATCATGCATTTGCCACACCATTTGTTTTGTCAAACTCGATTAGAAGTATTTAGTAGGTTTGACGTTCGGATTTTGGATCGGTTTCGGTTCAGATTATCTGTTTAGGTTTTATGATTATCTTACGTATTTGATTTTTTGGATATCGGATATCAGATTTTACGTCTATCCCTCATATATTAGAGTATACTTACAATCAAAGTATACTCGAAAAAACATCATATTAACAGATTTTTAATTTATTTATATAAATTTAGTTCGTTTTCTAAATAATAATAAAGACCAGAATGACATTCCGATCAATGTGATTCTAATGAATCTTCAACTTATTTGATGGGATGGTTAAGAGATTATCATGTATTTAATTTATTCGGGACTATTAGAGCGGAATCCATTTTTTTGGGGAAGTTTAGGCGAGGAAATGAATACAGTTTAATTTAATCAAATTTATAAAAGGTAATGCGGTTTGGTTATGATTCGATATTTTTCGAATGACAAAACGATTCGAATTTAGTTATGCAAAAAGAACCATACTAACGTATTAATGGACTCTTATTCATTTTTGCAAATTCAGTTGTTTTGAATATTAGCGACAAATTAAGGACTAAAATTTGGTTTGTTTTGTAGCTACTATTAACTCTTCTAATACAAATTATGTCTATGTATCAATATCACAAGTAGTTTTCACAATCCAGTTTTATTCTCCATAGCCATCTACAACCTCATGTGTGAATTTGAAATTTGGATGATGTATATCATAATCATTGGACCATATATGAATTGATCAGAAAAAAATTTGGATGAAATGATATGAATAAGTATCATTATGAAACTGGTCCATTGCAACCCAATTGATAACCCCTTTCACATCATAAAATTTTGAAACTATATATTTTGTAATATCAAAAGCTATTTTATCACTAAGTACAATCTCCTAAATATACCATAAAGAAATTATATTATAATCATCACCAACTAATTAATACTAATAAAATGAGGCATATGATGATGGGATTGTTATGAAGATACTCTAATCAAAGTCCCATCACAAGCTTTGGAAGAAAAGAATCGAATGATTCCATAATCAACAAAAAATAAAGCTTGATATAATATTAAACTATTTCGCATTTTTAGCAAAAGCATATGATTAAATGGGAAACCTATATAGGTTAATTATTACACACACTTATTGAAGAACTTTTGTGTTTATTATATTTGATTTAACCTTAGAGCCGTATAACGCGCAAACCATAAGGTCACATGCTGCTTCCTCTTAGTTCGTTCCACTATATAAACAAACCCAAATCACTTCTTCTTCCAAACACATTCCAAAACATCTCATTCCTCAAATCTCTACAAACAACACAAAAACCAAAAACAAACTTATTCATTTCCACTACCTATACTTCCAATACGATCAAAATCACCCTATTTTTTTTTACTACATATAATCTCTATCCGATCAAATTCACCCTCTAAAAATGGAGAACATGTTTAGGCTCATGGGAAGTGAAGATTTCTCAGACAGAAGACGGTGCATTTGGGTTAACGGTCCGGTAATCGTCGGAGCCGGGCCATCGGGGCTAGCCACGGCGGCTTGTCTCCGCGAGCAAGATGTTCCATTTGTTGTATTGGAGAGAGCAGATTGCATAGCTTCACTATGGCAGAAACGTACTTACGACAGAATCAAACTTCACTTACCAAAGAAAGTTTGTCAATTACCCAAAATGCCATTCCCGGAAGACTACCCTGAATATCCAACAAAACGACAGTTCATTGATTACCTTGAGTCCTACGCAAACAAATTCGAAATCACCCCTCAGTTCAACGAGTGTGTTCAGTCCGCTCGGTACGACGAGACCAGTGGTCTATGGCGCATTAAGACATCATCCTCGTCATCCTCGGGGTCGGAGATGGAATACATCTGTCGGTGGCTAGTGGTGGCGACGGGAGAAAACGCTGAGAAAGTTGTTCCGGAGATCGAGGGTCTCACGACGAAGTTCGACGGCGAGGTGATCCACTCGTGTGAGTACAAAACCGGCGAGAAATACAGAGGGAAGAGCGTTCTTGTCGTAGGATGTGGAAACTCAGGCATGGAAGTCTCTCTTGATCTCGCGAATCACAATGCTAACGCTTCCATGGTTGTTCGTAGCTCGGTTCATGTGTTACCAAGAGAGGTTCTTGGCAAATCAAGTTTCGAAATCTCGATGATGTTGATGAAGTGGTTTCCTCTATGGCTAGTAGACAAGATTCTACTCCTCCTCGCATGGCTTATTTTGGGAAACTTGACAAAGTATGGGCTTAAGAGACCCAATATGGGCCCAATGGAGCTTAAGGTTGTCACAGGGAAGACTCCAGTTCTTGATATCGGAGCTATGGAGAAAATCAAATCCGGAGAAGTAGAGATCGTTCCCGGAATTAGAAGGTTTACACGTAGCCATGTCGAGCTAGTAGATGGTCAGAGACTAGATCTTGACGCGGTGGTTCTCGCCACTGGTTACCGTAGCAACGTGCCATCATGGCTCCAAGAAAACGATCTGTTTTCGAAAAACGGGTTCCCGAAATCGCCGTTTCCAAACGCATGGAAAGGTAAATCGGGACTTTACGCGGCCGGATTCACGAGGAAAGGATTGGCCGGAGCATCAGCAGACGCTGTTAACATAGCCCAAGACATTGGAAACGTGTGGAGAGAAGAAACCAAACGACAGAGAATGAGAACAAGGGTTGGTCACCGAAGATGCATCTCAGTTGCTTAGGCCTCAAGTTAGGGCTTGCCCTTATACCATCACTGAGAAGAAGAAAAAACAAAAACAGAGTGTTCATTTATTATTTCTTTTTTTTTTTTTATACATATAGAGATACAGATACAAGAGAGCCCTCTCCTGAAGACCCAACGGTGTCGTTTTTTGAAGGCTGTGTGGGCGTTTTGTATAACTAGGATGACGTGGCGTTTCTCTTCATTATTATTTCATTTTATTCTTTTTTTCCTCTTCTGTTTTTTTTTTCGATTTTATATCTTTGTAATGTTTTATGAAAGATAATAATAATAGTAAATTATTCATATTTATTAACTCTTTTTTTACGACAAACAATTTGAGTTTTTTGCATTGAATAATAAAGGAAAATAAAGCCTTTTTGATGAAATACGAGGAAAATAAAATTATAACCAAAATAGAAAAATTTGAGACCTTAGTTTAAACTTCATCCCAAAGGCCCAAATTTGGCCCATTAAAAGGCTGAACTATGTAAGCCTTTTTTAATTAGTGTCGTAATGAAAATTCTTAGTAAAAAATATATTGGATAATAGCGAAAAAAATAAATTAATTCGTTATAAAATTAGAAAAGTAAAATTATCCTTATTTAACAGAAAAAAAGGAAAACATAAATTATCAAACTTAAAAAAAAGAGGAAAAAATAAATACTATATATCTTCATACCATGCACTATATATCGATAAGTTTTGACAAAACCTTTTACACTATTAAAATTTTATACTTAGGGATAGAAGAAGATGAAGAAGACGATAGAACATTGGATCTATGGAAAAGTTTGGGATAGAGAAGGAAACCCAAAGAAGTCAACAAGTGATGTAGATGAGGCTTCAGAGAAACTTAGTGCAGATTTTATAACAAGTCAAGAAGATGATTATAAACGTCGTCGTCGTTGCATCTATCTACAAAGCTACAAGTTTAACGTCGAACCCAAATCTGATGATAAAGATCTAAAACGTCAAGAATCAATGGCTCGTAAATTTTTGATTAAGTTGAAGAAACTTGTTCGTTGTCAGCAACGTCGTCGTCGTAGTTGAACGTGATGATGGTATTGGTACGTACGTATCAATCTTAATGACCTAGGGTTCATATATACTTGCTATATAATGTTGAGAACTCTTTTGGTGGAATTTAGGGTTTATTTAGTTTGATTGATCATAACTATTTTCACCGGTTAGGGTTATTTATTTTTTGGTATTTTGGTTTTAATGTTGTTGACGGAATTTGGTTTTAAGCTCATGATCATACACTAGAGTTTGATTTATGTTTTTCGTTATTGCATAGTCGTCGTCGTGTATCTAGGGTTTAAAATCAATTTCGTATTTAAATATTTTAGTGAAACAATTAGCAGAATTCTTTAGGAAAAGATTAATAAATTGGTTTACTTACTTAGAGCAAAATTATTGGTAGTCTCTTAATATTAGTTCTTAACATCTTAATTAAGAGATTTTTTTAGTAATAAACATAATTTCCATCTAATTTAGTTATGTATTTAAGCTAAAAATATTCCAAGATACTGTACTACCATTAAGGATGGTCTTATACCTTCTATCTCGGTTATGGCACAAACAATTTGCATCTAATTAGTTTTAAACACGAGATTAATACGAGATCAATTTTACTTGTACCTTTTTATCTCAGTTATGGCACAAACAATTTGCATATAATTAATTTTAAACACGAAATTTTGCACTTTAGTTTAAGCAATGCATGCAAATTGATTTTATATTACGACTTTGTTTTCAATCAATTTGTGTTTTGTCAATTCAGAAAACTTAATTAATCAAAAAATAATGTCTATTTCTCTCTATCGTGTTTGTCATCATCAATATATCTTCATAATTTTCTATCATCTAATATACCTATTTAGGTACTCAATTACCCAAATCATTTATGAGTTATATATCTTCTATCCACAAATGATTTTTTACCTAACAATTTATTTTTTACAATGAATCATACAACAATTTAGTTTGTTTTGAGTACGTTCTATCGATACTATACTATTATAATTATTATAATTTTTGTGATAAAAATATAAAGAATAAGCAAAAATATGCAAAAAAGTTGTTTACAAAAAAAGCAAAACATGTGCAAAACATAAGATAAAGAAAAAGTAAATCATAAGTTCAAATTTGAGACATTAACAAAAAAATAATGATATTATAATACAAACAATACCAAAAAATGTGAAAACCCAAAATATTTGGTATAACATTATTCTTTTATCGTTGTTAGTTTTTTTTTTGTTGTCAAAATCGGCATATATGCTTCCTTATTATTTGAAAGTTCAAACAACTTTGCATATTATTCTTCGATTTTATGTATTCTTCTATGATGTATTATTGTCAGGTCTTCTTGTTGTTCCAAATGTAAGACTATGGACAAAGGTTGAAAGCTATTTCACTCTCTTCAAAAATAAAAGTCTTCAACCAAGTCAATTGTATAATGAATGACAAATTTCTTAACTTTTCAAATTAAACAGATTTTGTAAATGGCAAAAGCGACGGACACAGACCAGTTATGACTATGTACACATATAAGACACAGTGATATCAGCCCTAAAATTCTTATGGTTTATTTTTTTTAAAAAAAATCTGTCAAAAAGCCTCAAAACAACTAATCAAATAAAATAGGAAATATAAGTTTATTCAAAAAAAAAAAATCAAACTTTTTCTTCACAAAAAGCTACAATTTTTTTCTTCTGTATTATGTATTAGGCCTTAGATAATTCTGGACAGGCCTTGATAATTATTCATATACGTTCGAGTTTGCAAAACCATCCTTGTTTGGAAACGAAACCATCCATGTCAGTGTGAGCTTGCAACCAATAACAAAACTATTTTGCTGAATACAAAAACTCGTAAAAGTATAATTTTTTTTATTTTCTTTTTAACATGACTTAAATTAAAACAGATATGGAAGTAGTCAAATATTATAAACGGGAATATGAAGAACAAACTTATGATGATTATTTTATTATATAATAAAGTTTGGATACCATCAAAAATTAAAAATAATTCCTATTTATGCGATACCCTTTCATTTCAGATTGATAATACTGCACAAACATATATTATAATATAAAATAAAATAAAGCTGCATGATGAAATATAATCTGCATATTGAGAAGTGGATGATTTGTGAATCACATATGAGACTTTTTCACTTTCACTTCCTTTGTTATTCAGTTGTTTCACATCGAGTAGAAAATAATACATTTGTTAGACTTGTTCATAAATATAACACCAAAGCCTCTATTATTCTTTCATACATTGCTTAATGGGTTTTTTGAGTTAAAGCCCATTAAATATATTTAGTGTACCAACAGAAAAAAAAAAAAGACGTTATAGTAGCAACTAGCAAACACTCTTATCTGAATTAAACCTTGTGGTAACAAAATTACAATATCGATTAAAACATGTTAAGAATTACGAATGAACATTATTTGTTTCTGGTCTGGCCATACCGGGAAGAGAAGAGAAACATGTGATTGGATAACGTCGAATAAAGTCAATGATCAAATGAAGCAACAACAACAACAAAAAGTCAACAGTCGTAATATCGTAGAAGATACAAGATGATGAAGGAAGCTTCAACGGAAGCTAGTCAACATTAGTGTAACGTCTTTGTTAGGAAATTTATGCATAAAAAGAAACTTAACCTTAAACTTTTTTTTTTTAACCTTAACATGACTTTACTAATCCACAAATGAATAAAGACACATAATAAAATGGTTTATATGCGAGTAGTGTACATCGTATGCATTACTCGTATACAAACTCTTAAAACACATATTTACCAAAAAAAAATCAAAATGCGAGTAGTGTACATCGTCTGCATTACTCGTATACAAACTCTTAAAATACATATTTACCAAAAAAAAATCAAAATCAAATCGTCTTAACTATGGTTCGAATGGTGATAAAAATTTTGACTGTGCAAGAAAAACGGGTTTAATATGTGGTATGGTTCAACTGCGGTATTTAGAGAAAATAAATTTACAGAATGCGGTTCGCAATGCTTTTAGACTGCTATGTAAATATTACTTATATTTTTAAAACGTTTTATGTCTATATATGTTGGTTAATTCAACAAATCTAAAAAAAATGCTAATAAGAAAAAAATTGAGTTGAATAGTAATGTATGCGCGTTATTGCTGTGCGAGACGAAAAAATGTTCCGCTTTTATGGTTACCGTTCATAGCCTATATATATATATATGTTGCTTATATAGTAGGTGAATATGATCAAACATTATTGGAGACTAATATATAAACTTCTTGAACGTTATATAGGGTAGAGATTTTAACCACAAAACTCAAAACTGAATAGTCTCTTAATATACGTTTACCTATGCAAAACTCAAAACTGAATAGTCTCTTACTATGAGTTTACCTATAGCAGTTGTTAATGATCGAATATAATTGGCGACTAATATATAAATTTACAAACGTTACAAAGTTACAACTGTACAAAGCAACATAAGCATCAAATCTTTGTGCCAGCAAAGAGAATTCTACCTTTTGATTATTATTAGTTTAGTAGTTCCTACTTTTTAAAATATAAATAACTTTGCTGACAAAAAAAAGAGTATATAAATAATTTTAAAACATATGATTCATGGCAGAATAATTCTGCGACGTATAGTTTTGCTTCTCAGACATGAATGATAGGCGAAAACATATAGAATTATGCTACAATGAGTTGAAAAATTAATTTAAAAAAATTAACAACGTATCATGCGTGAGCGGGTGGTGGAGTTTTTTTAATTAAAAAACAAATACAAAGTTTTTATAAAACAAAAACAATATCATGTTTTATGACATCGGGTTCGAACGGTTAATGCAGGAAACGAACATTATATATCCATTATTCGACCAATTTTTATATATTTATTCATAATTTGTTATTTTTATATATAGTAGGAAAAAACTGAGAAAAAAAAAAATTGTTACGAACTAAATATAAATCGTTTTTATGTAAAAGATAATAATTTACAATAGTTTATTGTTCGTCTTAAAAATAAAATAGATGAACCTGCTGATAGATTAGTCCACAATATTCATTCAAAATCTCAAATTTACTCATAATCATGAGCTTAAATATAACTCGAACGT